GCGTCGATGAGCGAGAACTTGTTCCACCTCGTACTCTGGTTCATCCTGGACGAGAACAGGTGGTGGTGGCAGTAGCTGTCGTCCCGTGAACTGCTGGTTGGGGTCCTTGTAGGGCTTCATCAGCTGAACATGGAAAGCATTATGGAGCTTCCACGTAGTAGGTAAGCGCAAGCGAAATGTAACCGGTGTCACCATCGCCTCAACGCGAAAAAGATCACAGAAGCGAGGCCGGAGCTTGGATAGAAGGTGAGACAAGTTCAAGTTACGTGTGTCGAGAAGCACCTGATCTCCGACTCCTACCGAGTGATCTCGTCGTTGTCGATCGGCATACTGCTTCTGGGGGTTCTGCATCGTGGTGAGACGTTGCTGAGTCTTTTCCCATAGCTGCTGCATGGTGGTGACGAAGTCGTGTGCGGCTTGGACATGTGCCGGTGTGGTTGGCTGCTGTGGTGTAAGTGGTTCTCGTCCATAACACAGGAAGAAAGGAGATTTCCATGTGGCCGCATGCGACGCATTGTTGTAAGCGAACTCAAGCGTCGGTAACTGTAGATCCCAGTGGCTGATGTCGTCTTTGCAAGCTGTGCGCAGTAACTGTTCAACCACTTGATTGAGTCGCTCTGTCTGTCCGTCAGTCTGGGGGTGGCATGCTGAAGACATCGCAAGCTTAGTCCCCAACAATCCCATGAGTTCCCTCCAGAACTTGTGAACTTTGGGACTCTGTCTGAGATGAGTGTAGTGGGGATGCCGTGGATGGTGATGATGCGGTCGAAGAAGAGGCGAGTAGTTGCTTCAGCTGTAGCCGTGGCGTTGGTCGATATGAAATGTCCCATTTTAGAGAACTTATCGATTACCACGAGTATAGCATCATGCCCTCGTGAGGTCGAAGGAAGCCCAGTGATGAAGTCCAGGCTGACAACTTGCCATGGCTGCTTCGGTACGGGTAGAGGCTGAAGTAGCCCTGATTTTTTATGCTTGCTGCTCTTCATCCGCTGGCACGTGTCGCATGAGGTGACGAACCACTGCACGTCTGCTGCCATCCGGGGCCAGTAGTAATACTTTGCTATTACCGCTAATGTCTTGTTGCTCCCGAAATGTCCCGCGTATGCCACATCGTGGAACTCCTTCAGTAATATCTGTCAGAGCGGGGCATAGTTCGGTACCCAAATATTTCCCGATCCCTTTCTTACAGCTAAGTCCTTCTACCACTGTAATAGCTTCTGGTTCTGTGCTGTAACGATCTTGGCGTCCACGGAGTATTCATGCTGGAATAGACCCTTGAGCAGAGGGTTCATCCCGTCGAGCTGGATGCCTGCTACATGACCGGGGCGGCTCAACGCGTCTGCCTTGTTGTGTAGCCCAGGCTTGTAGACAATGTCGTAGTGGAAGTGGGTCTCCAAGAAGTCCACCCACCGCACCAGTCGTCGTGAGAGCGTCGGCTGTGACTTCAAGTAGTTGAGGCTGTAGTGGTCTGTGTAAACTGAAGTTTTGGCTCCCTCTAGGTAACATCTCCACGCTTTGAAGGCTGTGACTATCGCTAAGGCTTCATTGTCATGGATGGGGTAATTCAGTTATGCTCCGTGTAGCTTTTTACTGAGGTAGGCGATGGGCAGCAAACCGCGTCCGTGATCCTGCATCAAAACTGCTCCGAATGCTTGGTCACTAGCGTCTGCTTCCACCACGTAGTCTCTATCTGGTTCCAGTAGGATGAGTACTGGCGCTGTAGTCAGTGCTGTCTGTAGCTGCTCCATGGCTTGCTGTTGAGAAGTATCCCATTTATAGGGCGAATCATTTTTCAGTAGGTTGATCAGTGGCGCTGCTATCTTAGCGTACTGTGGCACGAACCTGTTGTAGTAGTTGGCGAAGCCTAGAAACTGCTGCAACTCCTTCACGTTCTCAGGAACTTTCCACCTTTTAATGGCTTCGAACTTCCGCGGGTCCACGTGTACGCCCTCGGCACTCACCATGTGCCCGAGAAACTGCACCTTCTTCAGGGCAAAGTCGCTCTTCGACAGCTTCACGTAGAACTTATTCTCCCGCAGGATCTTGAAGACTTTCCGCAGATGCTCCACGTGCTCCTTCATGGTTTTGGAGTAGATCAGAATGTCGTCCAGGTACACCACCATGCATTCGTCCAGCAAGGGCCGTAAGATATGATTCATCTCTGCCTAGAACGTCGCAGGTGCGTTGCAGAGTTCGAACGACATCACTTAGTATCCGTAGGAGCCGTATCTGGTACGGAACGGCGTCCTGTGGATCGAGTTTTCTGCCATCTTGATCTGCCACTAACCCGACCGTAGGTCCAACTTCGAAAACACTGTCGCACCACGCAGTTGGTCTAGAAGATCATCTATGCGCGGTATGGGGTATTTGTTCTTGACTGTCTGTTTGTTCAGTGCGCGGTAGTCGATGCACATCCGTAAACTACCGTCTGGCTTTTGGAGTGAAGAGAACCGGTGCGCCGTAGGGAGAGATGGATTGGCGGATCAGTTGTCTGTCCAGTAGGTAGTCGATTTGTTTCTTCATGTCTGTCAGTTCGGTCGGACTAAGGCGGTATGGCGCACGTGAGACGGGTTTCGCACCTGGTTCCTCCACGATCTCGTGCTTGTGGGTTCGCGCTGGAGGTACTCCTACAGGTAGGTCGTCTGGCATGATATCTTTGTACTGCTCCAACACCTCCTTTACTGCTACAGGTAACTCCAAGCTCGGCTTCTCCTCCATTGCTGCTGCCATAACCAGTGCTAAGTAACCCGTGTTACTCTCGTTCACCGTCCGTTCGAACCGCGCCAGTGTTGTTTCAGGAGCATCCCCTGTATCCGTCCAGCTTCGCAGCTCCACACATTTCCCGTTGTTGTAGATGCACGCCTTCTGGTTGACCCGGCCTATCTCGGGGTTGAACCGCTTCAGAAAATCACGCCTCAAGATGAAGTCTAATCCCTTGATGTTCGTGATCGGCAATGTCGGCTTCCACCTCAACGCCCCTATCTGCAGCTGCAGTGTTGATTCGCCGTGGATGGGAAGCTTCGTACCGTCCACCATTGTTGCTGTAAACTGTGTCTCCTCCGATGACTCCCCAATTTTCTCCAATGTCCCGCGGTCGCACATCGAGTGGGACACACCACTGTCCACCAGTGCCTGGAGGCGTCGTCCGTTGCAGATCACCTCGAGTACTAGTGGCTGCTGCCACTCCGAGTAGCTGTAGACGGTGTTGCTTACATGATCACAAGGTAGATCAAATATATCATCCCTTGGTCCTGCGCTCGAAGCTGCTGACTCAGTTTCCAATTTAGCAGGGTTAGAAAGATTTATCCGAGGCCGATTCAGCTTCTCGAGGGCCTGGAACCTTGCCCTAAGCCAGTGCAGCTGTGTAGGCTTCACCTGTGGGGAACGGCGGGAAGCCTTAACACCGTGCTGCTGGGAGAGAATATTAATTTCTCGGAACGTTCGACCCTTACCAACGCTAAGGAATAGGGTCCCCATATTACCCGGTACCGGTTTAATTTATGACTCTCCCTTAATGAAGGCTTGAAAACCACGAGAAGTAAGATTCTTAGTTAAAGTATCTTTATTGGATAACTTTAACGAATTCTTACTTGTCGAGGTGTACGGCTGGAGTTTCCCGGTCGGTGCAGGGTCTTGTTTCGCGGAGTCTCCTTTTGTCTCGGCGATTTCCCTAGTGCCGGCTGGTCGTGACGTTTTAATTTCGCGCCACCGTATTCTCCTTTTTTCGCCCTCTCCGAAGTTGCCACGTTGTCCGTTTTCTGTTTCGGGGGTGCCACACTGATCTTGCCCTTCAGCTCCGCACGTACTTTCTTCATTTTCCAACACGCCAAGATACGATGTCCTGTAGCGCCGCAAAATTCGCACGTCGCATTTTTTGCTAACCGCTGCGTCGCATCGTCCTTGTCGTTCTCCATCGGGTCGGCAGTCGTGGGTGGTGCCAATCGCTCCATGCCACTATTTGGCTTGTTGCGTCGTGTTTTGTAGTAGCTACTATTCAACGCATCGAACTGTTTGATCAGTGCTGCCCGAAACTGCGCCCACGTCTCTTCGCCTTGGACTATTCTGTTGCTAATCCACTCTAGAGCTGGGCCTCGTGACAGTGCTGCTGCGAGCCGTATGCGCAATGCGTCTTGGGTGGGGATCGTGCATCCAACGACTTCGAAATAAAATTCGAGTTCAGCTACAAATCGACGAACGTCGCTCCCTTTGACTATAGGATCGAACGCGTCTGGTTGGCTTGGCTTTGCTGCTGCCGTTGTCACAGATGCAATTGTCGGTGTTGCCGTCGTCGCTTCTGCTGCTGCTACGGCTACCGATGTTCGGGATGTTCGGGCAAACACGTTTGGTGTTCGCCCGTTGCTCATGCCTAGCTCTAATACATCACTTTTGAGCGCACACGATCCCTCCAGAGCTAGAAAATCATGCCTCTGAAAGCTCAATGTGAGAGTGGGTATTCCCTCTTGGAACAGCTACTACAACCATCATCTTGCTTGCTTATCCCTAATAAATCAATTCCTACTTGTCGACAGGTTTGTCGATAGTAACTCCCTCAAGAAGTAATCGAGTTATTGAGATATAAATTAACGACTGTACACAAATATTCCTTTCAGCGACAATTTTTTGTTTGTTGCAGGTCTATATTTCCAAGAAAAGAGAAACCCTAGGTGGTCAAGCCCCCATAGCGGAGCCCCCAGATTCTTTTTCTTATGTGCATGGACAGACATTTGTAAAAGTCACCAGGTTGTCTATTGAGTATTCAATTTCGTCATGTTAACATTTGGCTATCTCAGCACAACCTTTTGAACATATTTGTATTCGCTTACCTTGTGACACATTCAAATATAGGCATAACATGTTCCACTTCCATAAATCCCGATTAGAGTGGATGTGTGAGGTATCATGATTACTTGTTCGACTCTCATGGTTTTTTCACTCGTCCCAACTAGTTACTCTATTCCTCTCTTTTCTTGGATGGAATGTGTTGCGTGTGTGACCATCAGGAGTCTAGCAGGTGGCAATCTGATTGGGTCTATTCCATCTACCATCGGCAACATGATCAGCCTTATAACCCTGTTAGTATAAAGAAGACTTTATTGAGATTCCACCTTAGGCTTGGATGGCTCTGATTCATTCCATTAAATTTCTCCTTGAAGCTTGTTTTTTTTGATTTCGACATGAGCAAGGAGAGCTGGACTAACCCACCAGCACCATCGAGAACCATCAGAGCAGTAATGGGTTGGTTTTACAACAAGGCTATGAGAGGTCCTTTATATGGTGAAAGCCAGCTGTTTTTTTACCAATCCATGTGAAGTTGGGATGTTCCAACCGAATCCATGTCATTGAGCACTTTGGCAGCATAGTTTGTGTGGACATGACTTCAAACATGCCCATCTTGGGCTGTGGCATGGCAGAAAGTACATGACCTGGTTGCAGCAAGCCAGCCATGGTTAGATGCCTGAGTTGCTACTCGGTCGGTAGGTAAGAAATTCGGCCTCGATCTGGCCCTATTCTCCTTTCTATACTAATGCTTCGTGTTGGCTCTTGCTTGACCATGTGCTTATATCTCATTCTCGCACAATCATGGTCAGATAGCGGTTTATCAAACTGTATTTGAGTTACCCTTGGTAGGAAGGCTTTGAGAACAGTATGCATTTTTTTTATTAGAGCATAGGTGCAAGAAAAGCTGGAGTTTTTCAAGTTTGTCATGAGCTAGTGGGCTGACGAGCCAATCAGGCAACTCACCAAGCTCGTGGCAAGCCGGTATCGCTTACCACAGTCTGCTAGTCCCCACGCTGTTGTAGTATTTAACTACTTTGGGTGGGTCTTGCATTTTGGATTCAGATTTGCATTTTGAGTTTCTCCTCTGGAAAGCTAGTGTAGTGAACGCGATCTGAATTCGGATTAGAAAAGGGAGTGTCAGGGGCAACTTATGTATATTTAGGGTTTAGGGTTGCCAACGCAATTTAGGGTTTAGGGTTGCTGGCGCAAGTTCAATGTGCCATCAAGCTGGGTATTGGCTCGATAAGATCTGCGAAGAGTCATTCTACAATGGTGGGAGCTCGACTACGGGGGAATGTGTCGAAGCGAATGACCCCGCCCTTACTTGGGCGCAGCCAGTCTCACCGTCGACGAGAAGTTCGCGACGGATTGCTCGACGAAGTGGGCTTCTGCAGTTCGACGGAAGTTGCGGTCGCGCAGGCTCTGCTTGATGGAATTTGGTCGACGTTGTCGACGAAGGTCGTCAAGATGTACTGGTCGACGGGGCCCGTCGAGGAACGCTGTTCGACCGAGCGGTGTTGAGCTAGCTGACCGGACTTGCAGATGTGTGCGTAACTCTGTGGAGGCGTGCGAAACTGCGTCCAGTAGGTTTTGGTAAGGGTGTAAACAAATACCACAGGGTTCGTATTAGTATTTGATATTCGACAAATATCAAATACAAACCAAATACAAATGCCCCTTACTTTTCGAAAGTATTTGACGTTCAAGAATTCGAGCATCCGGTTCAAATAACCAGTTATTCGAATTCATCTTCGATTCGCTTCTAAGTTTCCGAACCACCCAAAGCAGCCGCTATTACACATGAAATCTTGAATAAACGATACGAAGGACGCTACAAAACGGCCATCAGAGCCATGTTAACTGAGTAAGGGGCCAATGAGTCAGAGTAAAAGGGGGTTAATGATACTTCATTATGCATTTTAGCCCCATCGTGAATCATAAGATAGTTGCTTGCGCAGCCTTTTTTTATTTGAAACCGAATTCGACACACCATTTTTGAATCGTATTTGAATTCGTGGAGGGACATGTAATTGAACAAATACAAATACAGGAAGGTATTCGACAATTATTCGTTTTAGATAACCGTATTCGAAACCGTATTCGTTTTTACACCCTTAGGTTTTGGCGAAGTTCGATCTACGGAACGGCAGCGTGCTCGGCGGTTAGCACCTGGCGAAATAGACGACACGTTTTCTACCTGGCACCTGCGCAAGGTGTGCGGAGAATCACTACACAACGGGAGTGGACTACGGAGGAGGGCACGGGGTTGTGCGAGTGATCGTAGCGTTCTGCTAGCGTTCTTACTGTTTGCTGTGTTCACAGAAAAAGTTTGACAAGAATTCCACTAAGGAAGTTGGAAAGAACAACTTGCAATGAAAAGTTGATAGTACAATTGAGGCATGCATAACAGAGGGATTAGAAAGGCATGGAACTCCTAGCAAGGGCAAAACCTGCCAGCGCAGCAAAAGAGCGGCTTGCCAACGTTGCAGCAGAGTGGTCTGCCAACGTTGCACTGCGCGCGTCTGCCAGCACTGCAGTCGCAGGTGACTATCTGCAGTCGCAGGTTGTCTATCTGCAGTCGCAGGTTGTCTATCTGCGCAGATGTGCGCATCTACCAAGTAGGTGCAGGTTGGCGGTTTCACCATCAGGCACATTGCGCAGGTGCCAGGCAGGTAGAAAACTTGTTCTCGGTTTCGCCAGGTGCGCACCGTCGACCACGTGATGCCGTTCCTCAGGTAGAACTTCGCCAAAATCTCCTGGGCGAAAGTTCGCACGCCTTCGCAGAGTTTCGTGCAACTCTGCAACTTCGGTCGAAGGACTCGCCATCGCTCGGTCGAACAGAGTTCGCCGAGCAGAGCTCCTCGACCAGTCCTCTTCGACCAGAGTTCCTCGACCGAACTCCTCGACCAGAGTTCCTCGACAGAAGTTCGTCGCCCAGAGATCGTCGACCAGAGCTCGTCGCGCAGAGCTCGTCGACCAGATTCCGTCGAGCAGAGCCTGCTCGACCGCAACTTCTGTCAAACTGCAGAAGCCTACTTCTACCAATCCGTCGAGAACTTCCCGTCGACGGCGAGATCGGCTGCGCCCAAGCGGGGGCGGAGCCTTTCTCTTCGACAAGGTGCCTGGCGGTGAAACCGTCAAGCTGCACCTACTTGGTGCACCTCGCAGAACCTTGAGTGAGTGCAAGTTCAAAGGTAGCGCGAAGATGGCGGAGAACGCGCCTGGCGGCAGCCCAGTGCACGTCAGCGTGACGACCAAGGCCAACAAAACGAGAGAGAACACTAAGGGGGTAAGCAAGATCGGGGCGTCGCACCTCGCAGAACCTTGTCGCCCGGGTAACTAGCTTGGTCGACTAGGAAACCAGCAAGTCAAATTTCGTTGCCGAAGTCGACCAACAGCTGTATGTGCTCGTCGACCAATTGTCTCAATTGTCAACTTGGACCTATACTTGTCATTGAGCTCAGAATTGAGCTCCCAGTTTGACAAATTGGGGGATAAATGTATTGGGCATGTTCAGGTGTCATGTGCCCTTGTTCGGCAGCAGTATTGGGGTTTGTCACGGGCCACGGGATCGAAGCAGCCTGGTCTGCCAGGCATGTATCTACTCAGTAAGGACCAAAACGATTCAAGCAGTTTAATATCAGAACGGTTCAAGTGGTGCGGGCTGGCCGGTGAACATCAGGGCACCGTTTGACCTTTGATGAACCGGTTTGGCATAAGTCGCAAGGGGGCCTGCCCTTGGCTATGTTGTAGTGAAAGTGTTACAACAGTAGCTAAAATGCAGGAGCCATAGCTAGGGTTTAGCTAGCTAGGCAAGAGAGAATAGGCAAAAGAGGAGGTTTGACTAACAGGCAGTTTGGTACATATGGGAAACCCAAAAGGGTTGTACTCACTATTGAGTACCCCACTGCAAGCTAGACAAGCGTAATATTCTGACACACCTCCATAGTCAAAGTGGGGTATTATCAGCACAGCAAGCAGTCATAGAGCAGGTTCACAAGTACTAGAAAAGCTAGAGGCATTCACAGAGGGCAAGTGAGGAGGAGGAGTGACTATGAGAGGAGAGGAGGTGGTGGGCAGCAGCTGAAGTTGCTGGCACATGGCACAACTGGAGCAACTGGCACACGGTCATCTGGAGCAACTGGCACACTGGCAACTGGAGCAACTGGCACACGGGCAACTGGAGTAACTGGTTCCGCGGCTAGACGAGCGACAGGAGCAACTGACTCACGGGCGACTGGAGCAACGGGCTCACGGGCGACTGGAGCGACGAGCTCACGGGCGACTGGCGCAACGGTCTCACGAGTGACTGGAGCTGCTGGCTTCACGGCGGCCACCCCCCTTCAACCTCCCCCATTGTCCCAAAACTCCCGTTCACACCCCCTGCTGTACCCCTAGCACTGCTCACACGCCACCCCCCTAGTACCACTCCGACGGCTCCCACACATCCACCCCCCTCAGCGGCAGCTGCAGCAGTGGGAGACGGAGGAGGAGGAGGAGCAGGGGAGGCCTCACACACGCGTTACCCCCAAACTCGCCACCCCCACACTCGCCACCCCACTGCGGAACGCGCAGCAGGGAGGCGAAGGAGTGGGGGGGGGGGAGGCAGAGGGGGGGGGGAGGCAGAGGGAGGGGGGAGGAGGCTGCGCGCGGGTCCCTGGGGGCGTCCGCGGAGGTCCCCGGGGGCGGCGCGCGGGTCCACGGAGAGGGCGCGCGGGTTGACGGGGACGTCGCACGGGCCGACGGGGAGCCGCGCGCGGGTCGACGGGGATGGCGCGCGGGTCGACGGGGATGGCGCGCGAGTCGACGGGGAGCCGCGCGCTGGTCGACGAGGGGCCGCGCGCGGGTCGACGAGGCCGCCTCGAAGGGCGACGGGGAGCCGTGCGCGGGTCGACAAGGAGGGACGCGCGGGTCCCCGGGGTGACGCGACGGTGGGAAACCGCCGCGCGCCTCGGGGCGCACGGCCGGCAGAAATCCGCCGCGCGCTCCGTGCGCGCGGCGGGCAGAAAACCGCCATGCGCCTCGAGCGCGTGGCGGGAAGAAAAATGTCGCGCGCCACGGGGCGCGCGACAGACAGGACAACAGCGGAAGCTAACGGTGGGCCCACGGGCCAGGAGCGTAACCGCTCTGATAGCATGTTACAACAGTAGCTAGAATGCAGGAGCCATAGCTAGGGTTTAGCTAGCTAGGCAAGAGAGAATAGGCAAAAGAGGGAGTTTGATTAAGAGGCAGTTTGGTACATATGGGAAACCCTAAAGGGCTGTACTCACTATTGAGTACCCCTTTACAGGCTAGACAAGCATAATATTCTGACAGAAAGGCATAAACTTTTAAGCACGAGCAGCCCATCTTTTGTGTCATTGATGCTCCAATATGCTCTATCTTTGCTTTCCCTCTTTAAGAGTCCCCTAAAAGTTTTCCACATACTTGAGCACGGCCCTAAGCCAAACTAGAACGTGAGCATGAGCAGTCCACACGTTTCTTAAAGTTACAAAGTTTCAAAAATAAAAAAAATGTATCGCCAACCCAGTACCGTGCCACGTTTATGTTTATTCTCTGGAAATTATATTGCAGAAGAAAAAAAATATTTCAATATAAATCATAACCATTACGAATCCAGTGTATTTATCAACACTATTGACCCTGTTCCAGAAATCAATAAATCAACAAAAGCATAATCACAACAACACAATTTGTAGGGCCGTCACAAACAAAAAATTACCGTGTTCTACCAACGTCATGTGAGAAAATACTCGATCCGTACAGTGCTCGATGTCACTGTACGTATTGGTTACTTCGATTTTAGCATTCAGTAGAAATCACTACTCACTTACGAAGTCACGTAACCAGATCGCCTGCACAAAATCGAATTGGCAGAGAGAGGCGGAGTTGACCATTAGATTACCACAACCTGATATCGTCGGCCGGTCCAACATCCACGTGTACCCAGACGCGACGATGAACTATGATTTCCACGCGTTTCTGGGATTCCCTGCAAATAGCAACACAGCTGCAACTGAACGGGTACGATCAAACCCACTCACTACAGTGACGCGTGGAAACAAACCAACGTCGCCGATTCACTGCACGTCCGATCTAGGACCTGATTCGTAAAAAACTATCTACACCATTCCCAACCAAGACCACACCAAACCAGAGCAAATCAGTCCCCGCTTTTTTCCGATGTAATGCGTCAATGTTCTCTTACATCGGTGTTCGCTTTCTCTCTTTGGGAGTCCCGTAAACTTCTCCCATGTTCTTGAGCATGGCCTTAAGGTACGTGTGAGGGGAAAAGAAAACGCACACAATGTGGTGTGTAGCATATGCAGAACATTCACAACAAAGCAGCATCCCATGGGCAGCTAACCGGGATCAGTGTGCAAGAAGTGTCACCATCTACTGGGTACTAGGGTCTGCCGCCTATCTCTGCACATTAGCCTCACGATAGGGTCTTGCAATGTTTAAGCAACAAATTACATGGGAATGAGTGGTTCTGGCTGTTCCATCCCCTACATTGGCGAAGACATTATATTATGGAGTACGCTGCTTTATGCATTGTGCATGCAAAGCTGTTTCAGGTCATTGTTGTATCCTGCTGCGCCTTCCACCAACACTAACATTGTGTACTCTGTATAATCTTCTCCTGCTTCTGAATGAGTTCACATTTGCATGTTTGCCATAAGGCTCAAAACAGCGCAAGTTGTCTTCATTTATTTCCAAACATAATAAAATTTGCTTGCTTTACCATCAGAGATCTCAACGACAATGCTCTGAGTGGGTCTATTCCGTCCACAATCGGCAAAATGAGCAGCCTCGAGACATTGTGAGCAACAGCAAGGAATCTGAAAAGAGAGCCAACATGGCCTCGCACAATCTCATTCATTAGGGTGTCTCTGATGGTGTAATATAAGCAACATGTTTTGAGAATGAGCATACACGCTAGGATTAGAGCATGGGCTGGTACTGGGCTGGGCTAGGGCCAGGCCGCTGACCCAGGTCTGTTCAGGCACACTCGACCTGGCTGGGTAGTATGTACATGCCTAGTTTCATGGCACCCTTCGCTTGTGCTTCATAGCAATGGTTTGACCATATCCTTTCCTAGTGGTTATGTTTTCTTGTTGTATTCCATATTTATTTCCAACCATTACACCTTTTGTGTTTTGCAATCAGGTTTCTCTCTAATAATGCTCTAAGTGGATCTATTCCATCCACCATCAGTAAATTGAGCAGCCTCATTATGTTGTGAGTATCGGCAAGGGATCCAGAAAGAGAGTCAACATGGCCTTGCAGAGGTTCGTACATGAAGGGGCCTCTGATGGTGGAATTTAAGCAACTTGTTTTAAGAATGAGCGTACACGCTAGGATTGAGCACGAGCTGGAGGACCCGGGGGCCAGCCTGGAGGACAGCCTTTGATGGATCGTTGTCATACCAAGCCTGCCAGAGGTCTGCAGTAAGGAGAGGGGCTAGGGTCGCTCATTAATTTACATGAAGCAAGCTGTTCGTGCTTTAGTCGCAACTAAACACATGGGTGATAGGCTGGACATGCAAGAAGTTCAGTTTGGCCCGTGTTGCTATTGGGCTGGCCCGACCATGCTGGACGTAGTTCAGCCGTCTGACCATGTCCATTACACTCATTCAGTCATGGCTGGCGTTGTGCTCATGTCTGATTCACCCTGAAAGAAATGTAATATCTAAAATTATGGTCGTTCTAGTGCACACTGCACAATGAGCTGGCTGGCACACGTGCCGAGTGGGAAGCTGATTGGGCCTATGACTTGTCTCGTACGAACAGGTACGGCTCATCACAATATGTCAAATCCGCACGAATTTGCCACTTTGCTGCTAGTTGTGGGTGGATACTACATATTACCACCACATTCACGTCAATTTCTCATTGCTTTCACCATATGTACTGCTAATTTAGTGGCTTAGAGGTAGGAGCAAGCAAGAAAATGAAGGTGGTGTGTGAATGGAACTCAAATTAAACAATTCATAATATCCCTCTATAGATCGGTGTTTTTTATTGTTACAATGTTTTGTGCTGAGCATGCCAAGAGTCGACTGCATGCTTGTCGATGCATGTTCAACAAACCATGTTTTGGCTCGTTAAGCCAGCTATGTTCCATATGAGACTCGAGTCCAGCCAGCAGAGCGAGAAAGGTGGCTTGGGTCTGTCACTGTTTTGGACCCATGGTTGTAACTAAGATAGAGGGTAATCGGCTTGGGTAATAACTTCGCTAATCTGCAAAGTCATGGGGTTTCTGTGAAGCAGCAAAAAGGTTCGTCACGGGCCTCGATCCCTCTTTTCCTGTGCACGTCGGCCCATTTCGACCACTTAGTTGGTTATTAGCTTGCTGGTGATCAAGACCCTGTTTGATCATTTCGACCACTTTGTTGGTTATTAGCTTGCTGGTGATCAAGACCCTGTTTGATCATTTCGATCATTTTGTGTGCAAGACACTTGCCGTCCACTTCTTAACCAACTGGATCGTGGATATGGAAGCGTTGATGGATTTTAAAACTGTCATTGTGCACACTTGGGTCACAAACAATAAGAGCACGATCTTCTTGGGTCCTCTTTGAGCCAAATGTCCACTCCGGATGGAGACCACGTATGCTCTTATTCGAATTCAATATTATTCACCAGCTTCAAGGGTCTATCCACCTCACTTACATGTCAGGTGAGAAGACCCAACCTTGTCCTCCGAGTCACCTTATGTGTGTGTTACACTAGGGATACCTCTTGCCTCCCAGCAAATTCGCGGCCAGCCCCCCAGTATGATGCAACCGTAGCAGAAAGTTGCCAGCACACACACCTCTTTGGGACGTCAGCAGCAAGCCCCCTTACCGAACCCCATGTTTGGGTGCTCCACAAGCATGAGGGAGCTCACAAAGAAGCTTTCTGGACTCATGCTGAGCTCGCGATGGCCTCAAGCGAGCTCCATCCTCTCTACTGCACAACTGCCTGCCTGCTGGTCGACAAATAATGGAGCCTGGTATCGCATCATTGTCGGCAGCTGGATCCTAGGAGGAAATGTGGAGGGGTAATGTTCACCCGCGGAGGTAAAGGTGCGTCCGGGACCAAGGGAGGCGGCATCAGTGGGCAGACGGGCGTGCAAAATCTGTAGTGGGAGCATTCGAGGCACACGAAGCTATGCATGAGGAGGGAGTATCTGCACCAGCGCAAATGCGAATTGAGATCCACTGGGGATGAAAGGTGCTCCTGAACTGGCGGAGAGAGAATGCAGTCATTCCTTCTGTGCGCCCACATCGACCTGTCAACCGTTGTGAGCCTGTCCGCCTCGCGACCTGTCAACCGTTGTGAGCCTGTCCGCCTCGCGACCTGTCAACCGTTGTGAGCCTGTCCGCCTCGCGACCTGTCAACCGTTGTGAGCCTGTCCGTCTCGCCACTCACAGTGGTGAGCAGGATTTTCTGCAAATTGCTCCACATTAGCCTCACTATATGGTCCTGAAATGTCCAGGCGGTAAGATACATGAGCAAGGTTTTGAGGCCCCGAACTGATCCTCCCGAAGTTAATTTTCATGCACATTGACAATATTCTAAAGGGTTGGTCAATCTGTCCATTAATTATCTAGTGCCAAAATGCTAACATTCGGCTAACCCGACACATCATTCACCATTTAAGCACCGTATGTGCAATCGGCTATCCACTTTGGCCACTGGTCATCATCGATCTGCACGCTGCACTCCTCCTCACTGCTTCTTTGGCTCTATGTGTTTGTGTGCTTGCATAGCACTTTACACCAGCACGTCTTACGATATCTCCTGTTGGCCCTTGGAAAAAAAAAACCTGTTACATAGTATTGAAATGTAATTCCCCTGTTTGTGCTAACACTTCGAGGTACCTACTAGGTTAGGTACCTCTTCCTATGATCACATTCACATCTCGTGGTGGCATTTTCCACTTTTGCAGCCACCCATAACTGCCAAACTGAGTGTAAGGCGTCGTGATTATATGCTTGTTCAACACTCGGGATTACCCCAGTTGGTTTCATTTGGTTTTAGTACTAGTAGTGTTTGTTTCTTGCAGCAGTTTGTAGTAATGTTGATTGTCATGTTCAGCAGCTTCTTTGTGTTGTACTCACAGTCAAGCACCATTTACAGTAGGTAGCTTGTATCACAACTCACATATCAGCATGTCATGTTCACTCATCCCTCTCCAACGATTTATTCCAGGTTTTTTTTTTTTTTTTTTTTTTCGTCATTGGTTTCATAGCACCCTTTTCATGCGCTCTGTAGCAACTATTTGATCGTATCTGTAGCCATACTCATGCGCCCATTGTTTTCTTTATGTATTCAATGTTCCTTTGCGCCCATACACCATTTATATATTGTATCATCAGGAGTTTTTTCAACAATTCTCTGAGTGGGTCTATTCCATCCACCATCGATAGCCTGAGCAACCTCAAGTTTTTGTGAGTATCTTGAAGGGAATAGGAAAAAGAGCCAACATGACTTCGCACGTGTTCAGAAATTAGAGGGCCTGCAATGGCAACACCAAGTCAACTTGATTTGAGAACAAGCATACATGCTAGGCATGACCACGTGCTGGCACTGGGTCGAGATAGCCCGCTAACCCAGGGCCTGGGGGGGCGGCTTATGGTAGGTCGATTCTGTTAGTGTTTGCCCTCAATCTCACACTTTGTACTTCATATTTTCTATATCCTAGAGTAGTGTAGTTTGCACTTTGTGTTTGGTTGGGTGTACACCTACATCCCAACCAAACCCAAATGTAATCTCCAAGCAATCTCCAACCCACCAATTGGAGATTGCCTTGGGATTACCCCCAAACCCTAGGGATTGCCCCCGATTCCATTCCCCATCCATTCCTTGCCCTTCTTGGATGTGCTTAAAGAGCTTCAAGCTCATTACTAATTCATCAGTTCTAAGCCTAAGTTCTGACAGATCCTACAGCAAGTTTGCCATAGATTTGCAGCAAGGCGACTAGTTGGTGGACTCAGACCATGAGACGACTAGTCATTGTACATGAATTTTCTGCAGCAAGCTGACCCAACAGGCCAGGCTAGTAATAACCAGGCTGAGATCGACAAGCCGTACATGCAAATAGGGCTGTCCGGAACGTGTTCCAAACAGGCTGGCCCAACCACGCTGTCCCACACCATTCAACCTGAACAATTTCATGAATAGAGAGGGTCCAAGCTTGGCAATATGAGCATTTGGAGCTGTTGGAAATGACTCACAAATGCAAGGCTCCTACAAATAGTGGGTTTGAGCGTAGGCCTGTAACCAGCTTGGTCGTTTCAGTGCACCATGAGCTGACTGGCTGAGGAGATGAGTGGGCAGCTTATTGGGCATGTGGCTCGTCTATGATACGCAAACCAATCGAGTCAGAACGGGCTTGTATGCCTCGCCACAATCTGTCAAATCCGCATGGAGATGCCAGTTTGCTCCCAGATGTATGTGGATCTTGCATTTACCTCCACGTTCACAAAGAATATAATACTATTTATTGCCATTATTGTTTAGTGCTCCTTCCAGTGGTTGTGAGGTAGGAACGAGAAGAATATCCTTTTGAATACAATGACTGTAGACCACATGTGCTCCTACTCGAATTCAGTGCTATTCACCAGCGCCAGCTAGGAGGACCCAAGCTTGTCATCCGGGTCGCCTGCACCAAAGTTTCCTCCAAACCCACAGCAGCAGCTTTGCAGCCATCCCCCCAGCATAATGCGACTGCAGCAGAAACTCTGCCAGCACACGCACCTCCTCGAAACGCAAGCAGAAAGCGCCCTCAACAGACCTTGTGCTCCACAAGCATGCGGGAGCTCATAAGGAACCTGCTGGCCTCCACCTGAGCCTGCGATAGCCACAAGCTCCATCCTCTCCGCTACAAATTCAGCCTGCTCGGTGGCTAGCATGGCACCAGTGGCGGTGGCAATGACCTAGGAGGAAATGTGGACAGGGGAAAGTTTACCCAGGAGAGACAGGTGCGTCCGGGACCAAGGGAGGTGGCAGCAGTGGGTCGAGTGTGCGGATCTGGGGCAGGAAATATGGAAGCCCATTGCCATGGTTCATAACTCATGATGGTCCCATATGAAGCTTTATGTGAGGAGGGAGCATCTGCACCAGCACAAATTTGACTCGAGATCCATTGGGGGTGGAAGTCATGGTGAGATTCTGGCGATTCCCCTTCTACGCCGATGTCTCCATCAGCAGGGGAAGGCTGGATTTGCAGCAGAGGCAGCCAATGCCGCAAAT